TTTTCTTCTTAAGGAGAAATGTGGTTTAAATTGGTTATATGGAAGAACTACTTTGACCCAACAATTAATTAATAGAATTTCTAGGCCCCTGTGTAGGGGGTTACCAGGAAATTTGGAAGACTATATTACCTGACTGACTGGAAGTGATATATATTCTTGCCTCTTTCTAAAGAAAAGTGATCCAACAAAATGTAGACATTATAAAAAATATTACAAATACTTCAGTATTCATAATACTGGAACATATGGCAGTGGGCAATATGTTGAATGATCCAAGAACCATCAAAGAAGATGAAGGGAATACACACAGGTATTGTAAAGAATTGACTGACACTGAAAAACTGCATTAAGTATTGTATGTGTGGGAGTTAATGGTAATGAAGGAGGAAGTGGAAGCTGCATTGAAGGCATAGGCAAAAAAACAAGGCTCCAGGAATTGATGGGATACCTTGTTTCAACTAACAGTTGCAGCCCTGGATGGACTCACCAGTCCATGTCAGGAATTTTGAAGGATAGCTGTCTGGCTGACGAATTGGAAGAGAACTCTATTTGTCCCATTCTCAAGACAGGTGATCCAATAGAGGGTGGAATCTATGCAACAATGTTATTATTAATGTTATATGCAAATAAAATACTGCTAAAGTTATTTCAAAAAGGGCTAGAACAGTACATAAATAGGGAATTGCCAGAAGTTCAAGAAGAATTTAGAAGAGATCGTAGCACCAGGGATATCATTGCTGATGTCAGATGGATCCTGGCTGAAAGTAAAAAATATCAGAAGAATATCTATTTATGCTTTATTGACCACACAAAGGCTTTTGACTGTGTGAATCAAAACAAGTGATGACTAACATTGAGAGGAATGGGAATCCCAGGACACTTCACTAGGCTCATATAAAACCTATACTTAGACCACTAGGCTGTTGGGTGAAAACAGCAAGGGAACACTACATGTTTTAAAATTAAGAAGTGTGTTCATCAGAGTTTTATTCTCTCTCCATACCTATTCTACCTGTATGCTGGGCAAATTATTCAAGAAGTGGGACTCTATGGAGAAGATGTAGTTTCAAGATCAGAGGAAGACTCATCAATAAATAATCTGCTTTATGCCGATGACACAACCTTGCTGGCTCAAAGTGAGGAGGAGTGCTTTAAGCACTTCTTGCAGAAGATCAAAGAATATAGCGTTCAATAGGGATTGCATCTCATTGTGAAGAAAACAAAAATCCTCACCACTGGACCTATAGGCAACATCATGATGGAGAAGACTGATACTGTCAACAACTTCATTTTACTTGGATCCATAATCAACATCCTTTGTACCAGCAGTCAGGAAATCAGGAGACATATTACACTGAGAAGGTCTGCAGTCAGAGACCTGTCCAAATTGTTGAGGAGCAATGATATGAGTTTGAGGACTATGATAATGATAAATCTGATTCAGGCCATGGTCTTTCTGATTACTTGCTATGTATTTGAGAGCTGGACAGTGAGTTAGGATGACAGAAGAGGAATTGATGCCTTTGAGCTGTGATGGTGGAGAAGAGCACTGAACATGGACAGCCAAAAGAACAAGCAAGTATGTCTTGGAGAAAGTGCATCTAACAATACTTCTTGGAGGCAAAAATGATAGAGCTTTGCCTCACATACTTTGGGCATGAGAGTTTATTCCTTGGAGAGAGACATGCTGGTTGGAAAGGCAGAGAGTTGGTTAAGGAGAGGAAGACCCTCAACCAGGTGGATTGACACAGTGTCTGCTACAATGGCACATAATAGGAAGGGTTCAGAACTGTAGTTCTGAGCAACATAGGGTTGCTAAGGGTTATACTTAACTCAATGGCACTTAACAACAACAACAACAACATTATTAAAATTATACATAAGTAAAAATTTATAGAGCATATTACTAGAGCAATACATTCATAGGGACCTGCTAGACATTCAAGCTGTATTTATTAGAGGATATGGAATAAGGGATATCATTACAGGCATCAGATGGGTCTTGCTGACAACAGGGAATACAAGAAAGATGCTTACCTGTGTCGTCTTGACTATGCAAAAGCATGTGACTATGTGGATTATAGCAATTTATAGACACATTTTCAAAGAAGTGTCATTCTGGTTGGACTCCTTAGATTCTGATTTTTTTTTCTTTTTACAATTATTGATAGTCTCAACTAGCTATATTTTGGAAGAATGAGATGTTACTGTAGTAAAGATTAACTAGAAACCTATCTGTTTTGAAACAGTTTATGTAAAAGAGATTCTATAGCTATTTGTTTCCATATATACTAATTTTATTTTTTAAGATCAATTTCTAAGGTTCACACATGACATGATGCACTTTCAAACAGCAACAACACCTGAGTGTGTGGCAAAGAAGGAGAACATGATGAGAGCTGCCTGGTTATAAATTGTCCATATACCGTCGTGGCATGAAGTATAATGGCCATAGGTCAGATAGCCAGATCTCAAAATCAGTTTTCTTAAGATTCATGCCAAGGCTTAATTATTTGTTTTAAAAGATCCACGAGCAGTTTGATTGTTTGCGGCATCTGGTGTGTCTCTGAGCCACCCATCGGACAGGGCCTTCCTAGGACTGTCATGTTCCATCGGTGGTTTGCATTTCTTTTCTCTTCCATCAGTCTCACCTCTGCCTTCATCCCGAGCAGATGCACATTCTGAGCGCACTCTGCTAACACTCCTTCAGTCACAGAAGAATTCCTTTTTGTCATCTAGTGCTGTTGGATCTATTATCCAACTTACCCTCCCACCCCATCCCCGCTCCTCAAACTTAACGTTCTTACTTGAATGGGTGAATTCAGGGACTGGTGAGCACTGTTGTCTTTGAACATCTGGTGGGTTTTCGAATGATCGATTAGATTGTTGATGCAAAAGCATTGAGAAAGAAAAGAATTTCCCACACCTGACTCCTCACTTTATTTCCTTCAAGGCCAGTTCTGTTAAGTTTTGTGCATGAGTTATTTTAAAATATTCTTTTAAAAAGTATCAGCAAGTTTTGGCTACTTGTGTATATTGTGTTAGGTAATACCAAGTTGGGTCCAACTTACAGCAACCTTATGCACAAAAGAATGAAACGCTGCCTGTTCTTTTCCAGCCTCATTCTCTGTTGTATTTAACCCATTATTGCTGTAACTAAGTCCATCCAGCTCCTGGAGGGTCTTATCTCTTTCAACAACCTTTTACTTTTCTAAGAATGATGAACTTTCCGAAGGACTAGGTCCTCCTGATAACATGCCCAAAGTACCTGAGAAAAAAGGTTTAACATCCTTGCTTCTAAAGAACATTCTGGCTATCCCACTTCCAACACTGATTTGTTTGATCTTTTGGCAAACCATGATGCACGAACTACTCTTTGCTATCTGCTCTTCTTATAAGTGCCATTGAGTCAGAACCAATTCATTGTTGACCTTCCCAGAGGGTTTCCAAAGCCGCAGTTTGCATGGGAGGAGATTGCTCATTTTCCTCCAGCCGAGCAGCTGATTATAACCACCAGCTGGATTCCAACCACCTGGCTGTGGGTTTGTAGCACAACTCCTTAAGTACTAGGGTAAGTTAGTTTATGAGTTCCCTCATAGTTTTAATTATCTTCTTATTAAAGACAAGCCTACATCCCTACATCATACACATCTTTACCTTGGTCATGGTCCCTAAAAGGTGATCCACATCCTAATCCCTGGAGCCCCCTGATGTTACCTTGTTTGGAAAAATGCTCTTTGTAGATGTGATTAAGTTATAATGTTACCAAGATGATAATACCATCCTGGGTTATCTGAGTGAATCCTAAATTAAAAAACTAGTATCTATATAAGAGACACACAGAGAAGACAACAGAGAGGAGAAGGGGTTGTGAACACAGAGGCAGCCACTGGCATTATGTGATCCCAAGTCAAAGAAGCTTGCAACCACCAGAAACTCCAAGAGATATAGGACAGATTCTGCTCTAGAGCTTTATAGGAAGTGCAGCCCTTCTGACACCTTGACTTTGAACTTTTGACCTCAAGAGAGAAGAAATACAATGCATCCATTGTGTGCTGATTTTATAGCTGCCATTGGCTATGAATGTGCTTTATTCATGGTTCCTAGCACAGGACTGGCAGATTATTTGATTCTCGATAAATTACATTACTAAATGACTTTTTGAGTAAAGGGTTGATCAAGAGAAATAAGGCCTCACTGGAAAGACTAAGCCTTCACAGTTTTAGCTCACCCATTGCATTTCCTGTTCATTTTTTATTTAGTGTAGTAAATTATAAAAGGTTAGTGGCAAGCCCCTGCATCTGAACACTGTTCCTGGGACTCTGAAAAAAGGGGCCTCTGCACTTTTATTGCCTCATTGAGCCGTGGATAGTTACAGTGATTTGATGATAAGCTTCTTTGCCAGTGTCATTGATCGTGACTAAGGCTGACTGTGAAAATGACCAGCATCAGAACTCTTCTGGAAGGTTCAGCATTTAAAGTGTGGGAAACTTCTCCTCCTGCCTCCAGACCTTAATTAGGTAAATGCTGGGCTGCTTGAAGGAATTATTACAGCAACTAATATCTGCATCATCATCTGGCCACTGAGGTGGTATTGCCAGTCAGTCTGGGATCATCATGACCTACAAGATAGTGTAGATCTATTCACAACACTCTGGAAGAGTCACAGCTCGTACTCACAACATATATCGATGCAACAGGAAACAGCATGGCTTTTAACATCAGAAGTAGAAATGATTTGACATCAGCATATCCAAATTACCTTAAGTAACTCAAAAGGAACAAACCATTATCCACCATGCTGGAAAACCTTGAAGGTTTTATTGTCAATATCTTTACATTAATACAGATGCTTTTAATCTTGTGCTGAGAAAAACCAATCTGTTACACATAAAGTAACTTTAATATACAATATAGAAACTCATCCTAAGTTAGTTACAACAAGGACCTACAAAAAACTTCATAGGAAAAAATGTTACCTAATATTGCCACCATGTTTATTTAGTAGACTGACCCTGTCAGACCTTGTCACCACTGCTCAGCTCTGTAAACAATGGTTATGTCCATGTTCTAGGGAATTATTAGTAATCAGAGCACTAAAACCAGTCTAAAAAGTTCTAGCATATCACTATTTACTGTACAGTCCTCAAAAATAATTTATTGTACGGTTTCTAAAAAAAAAGGTACTAAGGTTGTTCTTTTGCTTTTTTTCCATATTCTGGAGCTGCACACAACACTTTTGTCTAACAGTCTAAAAAACACAAGAACTGAACTGCAATTCACAATCACAGAGATGAGGTGGTGGAGTCCAGGACTTCTCGCCCGTTGCACACCGTCGGAACATAAGTGCTGGCAGAAGCTGGAATATACAAGTGGAAGAGAAAATTCAATTAGTCAAGAAGGCCACATGGGTAATGGCTTGGATAATCTCAGAAACTGGTTAAAATAATTTAAAAAGTCATTTTACCTTGGCCTTGGGAAATGCTAAATGATTTAATGCACAGTAGGTAAACTTTCCAAATATGATCTGCATCAAATTAATTTGCCTCCTGGAACATACCTTAACTAAGAGAACCTATAAGCATAATCACTGTTGAAGGAAGTAATTTGTGGTTTTAAAATGAATTTTGAGAATCTAGAAACTGGTTAAAATTTGTGTAATTGAAAGCTCATGGCCATTTTCTTATTGATTGTTGAACCCTAATTACTATTCCAATATATTAATGAACATTCAGCCAGAGATGATTGTTCTATAACCCTCTGGATCATCTGTGGACCCCACACTGTTAGCACATGATTGGATATATTTTTGATGGTCAAGTGGATAACCTCAGTGAAAGAAAACATTAGGGACACTGACAGCCTGACAAGGTCAATTTGATGACCATTCTAAAAAAAAAAGATTTTCCAGAGGGGTGATGCTTTTGTTAATGGCAATTATGATAATGTTATGGTATGAGTTTAATATGGGTATATATATTAATTTTCCAGACATTTAGTTTTCTTTGACAATAATTCTTAGCTGTTAACATGCTGTTTCTAAAATTTTGGGGTTCTTTAAGGAAAAATCTAGGTATGGACCATTGCTGTATGAATGTTTCTATTTAAAAAAAAAGTGAAAACCCGTGGAAAGTTCAAGAGGGAAATGATTCCTTAACGTGAAGAAATGCCTAGTAAATGTGAGGCTTGTGGGCAGCCTTGTTTTGGGTCAGGTGGCCTTTCTGCTCAAGTCATATGGTGGCAGTGACCATCAACTTGTCCTGCAGAGAGAACCGGTTCATGTTATGAGCTCCCTAAGACAAGCTGCCTGCTTTCGACGTTTTGCCTAATCTTTTTTTGTCTTCTTTTGGATCCACTTTTATTTCTTTGCAGCTTTTCCATTTTCAGAGCTTGAAGAACAGTGAAATTTCATGGGGGTAAGTCTAGGAGAACCGGTGTGCTAAGATCTTTCTCCGTCTACCTTGCATGGGTATACTGCCCTCTCTGTTTACTTTCTTTAAAACTGCATCAAAGCCCACTGTGATGTTCCCCAGGCTCCTGTGGAATTTGATGGAATGCTGTCCTTTCAAGGGCACTCCTACAGTCAGTCAGCTTGCACATTGCTTTCTAATATCTTAAAGATTGATGTGTTTCCACTAGGTAGGTAAGATATATAAGATCTATGTGGAAAAATCTGTAAGTTCTACTTTAATATGGTTTTTTATGTATCTACATCATGGAAACCATTACAGAAGTTTACTGAATAACTTTGAGTCATGTAACAGCTTCATATGGGCATGAAAAAGAATGTCCTATTTCAGAGCATCTAAACTCTTGGGACAAAAAGAATACAAATTCAAGGTCTTCACATAAGAAATATTAACATCAAAACAAATGAAATAGTTTCTGTATCTAGTTTCTTCCTTTTTAATATGCTGGAGGGAATGGTAACCTGTATTTTTTTAAGCTTCTCTTTTACTATTTCATCTGTAGCTTTCCCCCAATACACTATTTTTAAATGTAAAAAATACCCTCAATCTTGCAGAGATAGTAGAGACAATTGTTGTGTCATGAGTTTACTGCCTCCCTCCCTTTGCCTTTCATAAATATTTCACATTCACCTCCCCTATTAGCCCATCTGTAATTCCCCAGGGCTGCAAAATATGTGGAAGCTCAAAGTCCTATCATTTTTGTGCACATGTGATCAGCTTTTGCTATTATTCTGATGAAATTTTCACGAGATTTTTAATGGTGTAAGTTTAGCCCATTTCCTTAAGTAAGGTTAAGTAGATTTCTATAAATATCCTTTCTGACAGAAACAGGAGGCATGCAGCCTTATTTTTAGCTTTCCTGGGACTTGGGGTGAGTAGTAGCTGTTAGTTACTCTAGGCTAACGTGCTTTCATTTTGCCATTCAGAGTGAAAACTTGAAGCAGGGTTAAAAAAAACAACAAAACCACCTCTTATTTCCACCATTGATCATGAAAAAGCAATTTGCACCCATCAAAAGGCATGCTTTGCTTCATAAGCTTGGCGAAGCATTGGAGATCAATGGTGCCAAGCAGTAGCTTCAGTCTTGATTTCTCAGAGCAAGAAGAAATCCACCTCTCTCCTACCAGTAATGCACACGCTGGCCAGGCTTTGGAGAAAATGACCCTGTTTTTTTCCCAGGTAATTGGGACTCTCAATCAATGCTAAGCATATTCATTCAATAGATTCTTCTGGATGCCGAGTTTATTAGTCAATTTAATGGCTGCCATGTGACTCCTGAGAATCAGTGTGTTACTATAACTATGTGATGCATTAGCCTGAGGGGGGAACCCACATTTAAGCAGAACAGACATTCCACTTTGCCCCCATCTGTTTCATTTGCTTGTTCTTGGTGAGCCCAAATTCGTTTTCCCAGGATATATGCTTATTCAAAGGTTTTAATGTGTGCAATAGAGTTTAGAATAGTTTGCTTTTGTTCTTTTTGAACCCAATACACCTGATTCTATATATGCTAAAGCTCCTTGGTCCCATTCCAGAAGTTCTTCAGCTGATTACCAGATATTTTCTGGGTAGATGATAGCATTACTATGATTTCAGAAGGAAGTCTGGAAAATCCATTATTAAGAAATAGAGACTAGTTTCTTTCTTTTTAAAAAAATTTTCTTTTATTATTTTTTGTGTATGTACCGTCAAATCAGATCTGACTGGTACAGGAGGAGATTGCCCCTCCTTTTCCAGCAGAGCATCTGGTGGATTCAAACCGCATACCTCTGGGATTGCAGTGCAGCTTCTTGCCACTAGGCCACTAGAGCACCCTTGTGACTAATTTCTTAAGAATGTATTTCTCCTTATGACACAAGTAGTGGTTTAAGACTTTTAATAGCCGATTCAACATAAAATCTTATTCTTTAGAATATGGCATAAAATCTATTAAGACTGAAGTTTTATTTTCAAATAAGGAAAAGAAAACTGCATAAAACCAAACCCTTTTTCATTCAGTGATTATATTTCTTGTGAAACAAAAGTCATGAAAATAGAAGATATATCATGTGGTATTTTCATATCACATCGAATGACGTACTTACCTTAGTCGAAATTTCCCTAAGTAGTCAACTCCATTTTGCTAAATTTAATTTTACTAAATTTCATCTATACGCCTAACTACATGTTTACCACTTCATGCTGTTGCTACTCTTCTTTCTCTCTTTTCTCCTTCCCTCAGGAACAATAAAAGTGAATATCCAATGGATAATTATAGATGAATGGATTTAGTAATTTTCATACTCTTCTACACATTCTGTACGCTTCTTCGTTGCCAGATATCTCTAATTTCCCTCTCTTCTAGGCAAATGTGTTCTCAGACAAGGATCAGAAACTCATTTATCCTGAGGTTCAAACAACAAGTATTAGCTTCATGTGCTACTAAGCCTTGAGATCAAAGTCTGAAATAAAAATGTTAAACTCTAATAAAATAATGGCAAGAATTAATCTTCATATCTAGTGGAGTTAATCCTACTTTACCTTCAAATTATATACCAAATCTGAATACATTATTAGCATTCACTGCTACTACCCAGGTTTAGATCACTAATAATTGAACTTTGCAACATCCTCCAAAGTAATTTTTCTCCCTGCTCCCTGTTTTCTGCCTGCATGGGAAAATGAGGCCTTGAAAGTCGATCATGCCATAGCTATGCTGAATCCCTTCCAGTGGTTTCCCATTTCTATCAGTAGGAAAGCAAACGTTTTTACAATGACTTCCGAAGTCCTACATGTTCTACTCTCTGTCTCATATCTTTCCACTTTCACTCGTTCATATCTATTCTAACCACACTGGCCTCTTTGCTGATCTGTCAGATTTGAGCTTTTGTTGACTCTGCCTGGCGAGTCTTTCCTGGAGATGCTGACAGTATTTGCTCCCTTTTTATCTGTGAGGGTTTGATCAGATGTCACCTTCTCAAGACAACCTTCCTCAAATATCCTATAGAAAAAGAACTCTTCTCAGAATGCATATTAGCCTGTGGCTTAATGATAAACTGTGCTGCACTCTCAAAGAGATATGATTTGAACCCACCACCTGCTCCGTAGAATGATAGGCAATCTCTTCCAGTGTGATTTACTGCCTTTGAAAACCTGCTGAAGGGTCAGCTATGGGTCAGTTCTGACTGGAGGGCACACAACAACAACAGTGTGTTATTTAGCCATGTAACTTGATACCATTGGATAAATGGTGTATTACTGATTTTCCTTCCCCCTTAGTATGCAAGTGCTCATAAAAGCAGAGTGTGTGCTTGTTCATTACCACTTTCCCAAGGTCTAGAGCTGAGAGTGAGGTAAAATTTGTCTTCTTCAAATAAAAGAACTATTCATCAGATTGATCATATTTACTTGATAAAGGGATCCTCCCTAAACCCTTGAAAGCAGGTAAGGCAGCTCCCCCACCCCTTATTTTCCCCACAAGAGAGAATAAGGTCTCTGTTCAAGTAAGACTGTGTTCTGCACTTAGCGGTTCTCCAGAGGATTCTACTTAAATTAAAAGAAGTAGAAAGAAGAGTTGGCCTATAAGAACTTGATGTTATACTTTATACTTCCTTTTTTAAAAAAAGTATTAACAAGTTTGGAAGCAGGAGTGGCAGCCACTTCTGAAATAGCTTGCCTCCAGGAAACCCTGTGAACTTGGAGAAATGATGAAAGTCATACAAGTGTTCAGGTCTTTTGTTCATATGGTCGCTATGAGTCTATGACTCAATGGCACTTAACAACAACAACAACAACATCAACATTAATCAATCTGGAATCAATATATGAACAATGTTTCAATTACATACGTATTATATATACTTATAATGTGTTTTGATTACCTACACATTGTATATATAAGTATATTCTTTATATTCTATACATACATATAAATTGTGCTCTTTTTAAATTTTTTTTTTATAAATTGCTTTTTTATTTGACACAGTGACTGCAGCAATAGGCTCAGTATGTCAGAAGTGATAAGGATGACACAGGATAGGGCAGGATACAAATCTGTTGCTCATAGGACCACTTTGAGTTGTACTTGACAGCACCTAACAGTAACAACAACAAGTACATATAAACAAATATTATAAATGTAATATATAGTATAAATAAATTTCCAAATTCTTTAGCAGATGTAAATAAAGTATGACTATAGTGAATTTTCTGGTGTAAAAACTTTTTTTGTGCTATTGATTTGACATTATATTCAAGTGTGGAGGAGTTGTACAAGATAATTTAATTCAAGAAAACAACATTTCATTTAAAGCACTATTTAAACCCAAACCCAAACTGCTGACATCTAGGTGTTTCCTAGAGATCCCATAAGATGAGCCGAACTGCCCTGTAGGGTTCCAAGCTGTCATCTTTAGGACGCTTCATCTTTCTCCTATAGAGTGGCTGGTGGGTGCAGATCTACCACGTTGAGGGGGGCAGCCAATTGTTTTAAACACTGTGCTACAAGGGCTTCTTTAGCACTATTTATATGAGACTAATTAGACCTTTGACATAAACAGCAACTAACCATCGATACTATTCCTTTGTCTTTATGAAATCACATTTTTGAAAACCCTGTAGGTAGCCTGTCTAGAAGATCATGTCTTTTCCATATTGCATTTAGTTGTGCGGAACACTGAGGTCTCACGTAGCCATGAGTTCTGAACCCCTGGGATAAGGCTTTTGAGAGGAATAAAAATCTGAATCCATGCTAAGAGTACAATAAATCTTCAGATGTGGAGAAATTAACTTAAAAAACTCACTGAATTTGCAGACACCATGGTTCTCATTGTTGGAATGGTCCCTGAGATGAATATTGTAACGAGAAGAAGCAGAAAAATTTTAAAAGAACAGAGGAACCATATTGCAACTTTTGGCATTTTACCTATGATGTCACTTATCAAAGCATGTAATAGATAGGGTCCTAACTGATTCACTTAAATATGAACTCAGTGGAGCAAATGATCTTATGGGTCTGTTCTATCTCCAGTTTTTGTGGTCATTGCTGTTAAGGACCGTACTCTGTATTTGGTTGGGGGAAACATAGGGCAGTATTAGAGGTAATGGGGAAATGGCCCAAGGATTGGAGAAGAGCTGTTGTGAGAAAAATACAATGGGAATGGTAACACAGAAGATGGAAGAGGGAGTGAACATCTCTTCTGTAGCATTTCCTAGTATAGTTATAGACTCATTGTTCTCCAAACCCCAATGAAGAAAGGAATGAAAGAGAAAGGGATGACATTCCTGGGAATACTATGGGCTTTTCTTCCCAAAGGGAAGATGGACAGTGATCTGATTTGGATGCATGGGATGTATGTTGTCTAGAGCAGATAGCCTAACTAGTGAATACCCCAGACTATCCCTGCACTGTCCAGCGAAGATTTATGCTGATAGTCTATTTCAGCCTGTCGAGTGGAAGACAAGCAATTCAGCCTGTGTTGCCAAGTAACTTGCCCATTGGTCTGGTCAGGCTAGTCCACAGTTCCATCATCGGACCCTCAACTTAGAGTATAGGCCTATTAGGCTGTTTTTCTGAAGTTGTATGATGGAGAACAAAGCTGGGCACTGTGAATCTATGCATCTTTTTTCTTTTATAAGGTCAATGGGTACTTGCCCTCTGCTCGCTGGGTGTCTTTCAGAGCTATCTGCTGGCTGGTGCAGGATCTGGTTGTTACGGATTCACTTTTGTTGCTGTGGTGCCAAGAAAACACTGCTTTCTGTAACTCTGGAAGGCTGCTCACTTGATCTTTTCACACTACATTTCCTTTATGTTATGGGAAAATACTTTGCAATAAAGAATAATTCTGTTAATTGAGCAGTTGGTACATTACCACCTAGACAAGTGCCTTTCTGCATAAGCTTTTGGCAGAGGAAATCAATTTCCATATGCCTACAGTTCCTAGGGGACCCAAACTCAGGCATCATTAGTTAGCAGAAGCCTCTTGGCTGATCTTAATGATTATGACACACATACACCTGAATGATCACTCAAGTGAAAGCAGCACACATTTCCCCAGGACCCAGATCCACTACTCTGCATATCGTTAGGCACACTCTGTTCCTTACCTCCTCTCTTCAATCTCTGTTGACACAAAACCATCTTAGTGCCAACCACATTCTGACCTGCATGAATTCCTTCAGGGTTTATAGATAAGTAATCTCATGCGTATATACAGCTATCTACTTCAAAATTAGCCAGTTCCACTTAAATTCCCAGCATACATTCTAGATTACCTATTCTTGAGAACCAGCTCTAGGAAGCCCCTATGCTAAAGCTGAACAAAAGAAACACTCGCTTTCCCGCTCATCCAATTGCAGGATGCATCCGTGTGCGTGTATGAAAGGAGCATTATGGTATGAGTCTAGGATTTCAAGGTTCCCAGTTTACCCTGGTACGGGAAGGACCAGGCTCAGTTTCGGTAAATGGTTTTTGCGCAGCCAGATGCGTCTGTGGTTGTGCTGTGCAGCCCCGAGCATGCGCTCTCAGTTCGTCAAGCTTCCTTCTCTTTGCTGTCCGGCTATGTTTTGTGCATTGTTGGAAAAATTGGGACACTGATGTGATTGCTCACTCTGTGATGCTGAGCTATTTTGAAGTATCCTTTCTAAACGACTCAAGGCAAAACTGTGAAAGAGTCATTTGTCTCTGTGGTTCGCAGGCTCCCTTCCCCCTCTCCTGACTGCACTCCTTCATCGTCTGTCAGCTGAGTTCTCCTACTCCATACTAGGGATGAGCTGAAAATGGCTTAAAAGGGTGTCCCCTCCAGGTACATCTGTGCTGTAGAGGAGTCTAAAGAATGAAATCAGTGGTTGTCTAAGGATAGTGTTTCAGACATTTGCAGGCCAGCAAAAGACAGCATTTTGGAGTGGGTCATTATCTGGGGATTTTTAAATCCACATTGTCTCTCAGTGGGTTCTCAGTTGAACAAACTCCCATAGTGTCTAAGGGGGGAGGGTGGGAGCAGAGGGGGGAGGATGAGTGGGGGTTGAGGGGGGTAGTCATAGGGCTGCACAATTTGATGAATGGAGGGAGGGGTGGGTTAAGGAAATGGGGAAGATCCAGTGTGAAAAACAATGCATACAAACTTTGTAAGTAAAAGTATAAAAGAAAAAAAATTATATAAACACCCCCCACCCCTGCAAATCCATAGTGTCATTTAAAGCAGGGGAAAAGTGATTCGAACATTTTCTGAGATGTGTTCCATAGTTACCTGGCTTTCCCGGGGTTCAATGCTTTTAAGAAATGCTGTTTGCATATTTAACTCTTTGTTGCTATTGTTAGGTGCCATTGAGTTAACTATGACTCATAATGACCCTATGAACAACAGATCCGAACCTTGACCTATCCTGTGCCACCCTCATCGTCTCTGATATGATATGCTGGAGCCCATTGTGATAGTCACTGGGTCAATCCATCTCATGGATGCTCTTCCTCTCTTTCACTGACCCTTCATCTTCTCCAGCATAATATTTTTTTCCCCAAGAATGGCCCTTTGTGACAACATGCTCAAAGTATGTGAAACAAAGTTTCACAATCCTTTTCTCTATGGGGAACCCTAGTTGTATTTCCTCTTAGATAGTCATTCGTTCTCAAAATCTTTAACATCCCATTGGTATTACTGATTTCCATGGGGGACATTGAGGGTTAAGCATTTTTGCCTCTTTTAATTATCTTCCTCTTATCAATTTTCAAGACATTCACTCAGCGCCTGTGTAATACAGAACACGCACTGCAAACATTAATCTATCTCAGCCCCCTAATTTAATGAGTAAATGGAAACAGGAAACACTCAAGTAATTTGCTCAAGGTTATCTTACCAAACTGGACTGATTAGTCAAGGTGAGAGATCAGATTTTTCGGCTTCATAACATGGCTAGAAATCCCAAGTGCAGTTGTATATTTAATGTCTGTCCTGTATGAGCCCTTAAACCAGAAACTGACTCCTGTACATCACTGTATCCCCAGTATCTGGCACAGAATACGGCTGTTGAATCAGTACTTATTAAAATGGAATCAAGATTTTTCGTGGGCATGTGGGTTCCCTGTTCTTTTTGAGTCTGTTGCTTCGTCCCCAATTCTGAGCTCTACTATTTATGAAGGAGTCAATAATGACTTCTTATACTTACACTGAGAATATGTGGTCCCAGTTCCACTCACACTGAACCTATTGAGGTGCAGTCTGTGTGTGACCACATTCTTCTGGGGTTGAAAGAGGACAATGTGCACTTTGGGTGCAAACAAACATCCCAGAACCACGAAGCCACTCAGGCTGACAGAGATGCACATGGTTGTTGTCTGCACCTACAAGAGAAAGTTGCATAATAAGAGCTTGTTCATAAATTCAAGAATGTGTCTAGCTGAAAGGGCACTGGAACAAGACCAAACCCTGAAAAGCTGTGAATCATCCAATGCTTGTTCTTTCTACCAGCAAATTGGTTCAGTGATTACATTGGATCTTCCGAGTTTGGGGTGTTCATGGAAACATTGCTTAGGATTTGTAAGCAAACACTATTTGAGTGGGACATTCCTGAGTGCTTGCCAAGACTTCACATGCCTTTTATTGCCTTGTTAATTTTTTCTTTATTTTGTATAAAGAAATTCCTGCAGAACCACAGAATTCCAAGTAGTAAAACCTTAATATAATGAAATAGAGAGATTGCTAATTATTCAGTTACAGAATTTTGCCTTTCATGCTTTTCACTCTCCCTACTAGGAGGCTCTGACTCCTGGTTTATTTACTCACATTTGGTAGACACTACAAAAATGTGTTTGTCTTTTTATTATTTCATTGGCAATTCTAGGAGTTGGATCAGGTACTCATTGCTTAATCTCTTTATGCCCTGGGAGTCTTTAAACCCAGTACTGGAAGGACACTGTCACTTTCTCTCTTTTCTTGAAACTATGCTTCTGGACTGGGAGCATCTTACTCTCTATTTTCTCTGCTGTTATAATCTGTCCTGGCTTCAGTTGCCACAGATTTTTTGAAATATCTCAACACTACATGTTTTATCAACTTTGATACTGAAAAGTAGAAATTAATTATTTAGTCTATCAGGTTTGTGAAAATTTACCATAGTTACTCAAAGGTCCCTGGAATCCTAGAATGATTCTTCCATCTATTAATAGTGCCCTCAAGTCTCTTTCATTTTAATCAAGGAAAGCTGGAGATGGAACAGTTAATTGCAGAATATACATAACTTTAGAAAATTTCATTACTTTTAAAAAATTTAAAATATTCATGCTTACAGTACATTTCTTAGTTTTGTTTTAAAGGTTGAAAATATAATCCACCTCTCTAGTCTATAGCTTTTGTCTCCCTAACTCATTGAGCCCATCCTTCTTGGGATCCTGGATTACAAACTTGATTCCCTTCAGTTGAAATTTCTGTGATACTAGTTCTAGTTGGTCATATTATCAGAGAAAATAGCTACCATCTAATTCTATGATGTAAAAGCCTTTCTCAATTATAATAAGTCTGCCATAAATTGAAAACCTTTTTTGTTTTTAACAAGTTCATAGTTTAAATTGTACACTTCATTTATTTGTGTTGACTAAAATTCTGTGTTCTGATTCCAGAAATAGCATTACTGAAGTTTCTCTGTCTTCATCTTCCCAGATCTCAACAACATCTAATAGTTAATGTCCTTTTTTTTTCTTCTTCCTTAATACATCTTTCCTCAATGGCTCTTCTCTTATCTTTTCTGCCTTTGTCTCTTACTCTGAAGTTCTGGAGTGTCTTGACCATACTTTCAGATTCTCTCCTTCTATTATGTATTCAAATCCATGTCAACTCAAAGGCAATGGATTTGAATCCACAGGAGAAAGATTGGCAGTCTCCTCCTGTGTATTTAAACCCACAGGATGGTCAGTTACGAATCTGTTGCAACCTGAAGGTACTTCACAACACCATCATGTTCATAATGGGGAACTCTGATGGCAGAGCCTGAAGTGTTGTGCTGTTAGCTCAAAAGCCAAGCCTCCCTGGAAGTTAAAATCAACCAGCCGCTCTGCAAGAGAAAGATGGAAGTGTCCTCCTGTGTGGTTTATAGCCTTGGGAAATCATTGGAGGAGCACTTATGAATGAGAACTGACTTGATGACAACCACCATCCAGTCATTCATTAATAGTTCTTATTCATCCTCTGAGTTTCTGGCCTCCATAGTCAGCCATCACTATGACTTATTCTTTTGGGTAGGGTAGCAGATCTTTGAGAATCGACATACGAGAAAAACTGAATCCCTTCCCAAGTGTTTCTATTTGAGTAATTGCCATCAACAGCTATCCAGCTGAACAAGCTTGATCTTGCTATTTCCCTTATGTCTGGGTCTATTCTATTTCTACATCTCCTGTAAGCAGAGGTACTGTCTGACTTTGTTCCAGTCTTCCTTCTCATAGTTATTTGTGTAGCAAAATGCCTTAGAAGAGAGAGTATTACTTTCTGGAGAAAATTGCTGGTCAGCTTGCAGCTTTGGAAAGTAGTTTCTCCATTTTGTGCAAAGGGAGAGTATACTTTTGGGTAGAAAACATCAAGGCTGTCTAAGCAACAATTCTGAAGCTTCATCTGACATACTTTGGACATGTTGCAAAGAGGGACCAGTCCTTGGAGAGGGACATCATGCTTGGGATTGTGGTGGGACAGTGCAGGAGAGGAAGACCTTTGATGACATGGATTGATTAAGTGACTGAGGTAATGGGGGTGTAGGTGTGTCGGAGACAGTGAGATTGGCACAGAATAGAGCAGGGTTTAGGGCTGTTGTCACTGTGAGTCACAGGCGACTCGATGGCACATAACAACAACAAGAAGTACCAACCAAATACAATTTAAATGCTTCTTATAAATTTTGTCGGGATGAAAAATAAGAGGAAGGGGGAAGAAAACAGCACTACAGTTTCATCCACATTTAAAAAATGTGTTAAATAATCTTTTATTTTACTTGCTAGAAATAATTTTAGAATTTCAAATAATTTGCAGATTAATTCTGAGGATAGATTTCTTTCTTAAAGAAAAGATATAGATTAAAGCAGGGAGGAGAAGCAAGAGATGTTACTCTCACTCAAACCCATTTCTACTGCGTTGGAACCAGCTCACAGCAGACCCTCCATTTGGGCTTCTGAGGTGGTAAATCTCAGCGGGAGGAGAATACTCCTCTTTCTCCCAAGGAATCTGGTGGATTCAGACCACCAGAGAGGCACGGCCTTTGGATTAGCAGCATACCTGCATATAGACTATACCATCAGAATTTTTCCCCCTTTGGGGTCTAAATAGCTTGTCTTTATAATAAAACATATATGAAGCAATTAAATATTTAGCAAACCTACTGGTTATCAGAATTTCCATGTTTACTTAGATAAGAAGAATTAAATGTCAAATGCTAGTGTTCCAGATTTTTAGCATGTCAGTTATAGTCTCTGACACATTTTTAAAAGCTTGTTTTGTGTTTCAGGGTGTGTGTGTGTGTGTGTGTTTATTTTTATTTATTTTTTTTAATCTCAGTAAGCGAAATCTAATCCTCTATCTATCTATCATCTATCTATCTATCTTTCTATCTAGGTGTGGAGTGATTGGATTTTACAAGGTGGCTTCTCTTATTTTAATTGAGGCTCTGTTGTTTTTGTTTCATTAACAATTGGGTGTGAGCTGATAGCAATGAGCTGTGGGCTGGAGGCCTCTTATTTGGAGTAGTGAAACCTGGTGGAGGGCCTTGTATTTAAAAGCAGGTTGGCCCAAGGGCCTGCAGCCCTCAGACCTGGTTTTAATGTTATTTGGGATGAACATTCTTCTGAGTAGTACAGGACTCAATTGGTTGTACAGAAGAAACCTGGGGTTCCTGTGATGCTAAACACTGTGTCACTGATGTGTCAAATGCCATAATGGTTACCTATGTGGACAGTGTTTGGTGGAGCTCCCAGATTAAGACAGGTTTGGAAGCAGGTGCGGCATACACTTCCTAAACAGCATGACTCTGGAGACTTGATGAACACAGAGATGTGATAGTTATACAACATGACTCAGGTCTTTTGTTTATCACAGCACTTAACAGTAACAACATCACCACCACTAACATACTACACTCACTAATTGGGCAGGGTCACCTGTTCCACATTACATGGCTCTGTCTAGCAACAAAATAGTGCAAAGGCTACTCTGCATTGCTCCGGCTATTGCTATTACTATAAGCCCGAAAGTCCTCTTTATAGCATAAGTAAATTTGTCAAGCTAATCTTAACTTTGCAAGTAAGGTAAAATCTCAGACTTTACAGTTCTTGAAAGTTCTGGCATTGAGGATGAAATGTTGACACACACACATGGTTTTCTCAGATTGGAAATATAAGGCTTCACTGGTTGATTAACAGGGTCTGAGGGAAGAAACATGGTAACCAAATTGTACTGTCAACCAGGAAATAAATGGTGGTTCATTTTATTGCCTACTAAAACAACAACAACAAGAAACCCTAAATAAAAACAAAAGAAAATGGAAAGAAATACGGACACATTCCCATTGAGTCACTTCTGACTCAAAGCGAACCTCCACTGGGCTTCTGAATGTAAATCACAGTGGAAGGAGACTGTCCATCCTTCTCCCATGAAACAGCTGGTGGATATGAACCTCAAGAGACAGTCTTTTGTTTAGCAACAAAATACAGATAAAGTCACTAGCACTTTCTGTATTGTTAGTTCCTACTAATTAAACAAGGGAGTTCTGGTGGCCTAGTGGTAAGGAGCTGCACTGCCAACCCTAAGACATGTGGTTCAAATCCACCAGCTGCTCTGTGGGAGGACTACGGGCAGTCACCTCCTGTGTGATTTACTGCCTCTGAAACCTGCTGGAGGGCCAGCTGTCAGTTGGTTCTGACTCGATGTAACCAACCGATCAACAACAATAACAACAATGAAGTGTAATTGAGGAGTTCCTTTCAGACTGAGTAACAGGAGCCAGCTACAAAGAGGACCTCAGGAGTGGTGCCCTGATTGGTTCTAATCCTTTATAGGCGGAGCTAAGGTGAGACGGATGTAACTGCTCCCAATCAGATTCAGATCCACTTTATTCTAACATTTAGCTCTACAGTTTGTCCTGAGTGGGGAGAAGGTTCTCCTTTGTATGCAACAGTTACACAGACCTGTGCCTACAATGAGCATGGAAAGAGGGACTTCACAACCACCAGGAAGGCAGAAACCAGGAGAATAATCTGAATGGGTTGTTCCTTTGGGAATTGTGCATATGCTGGTGCTTGTTAAGGAAAAATAGCAATAGTTAGGCTTTCTCACACTCCCTTGGATGACTGTAATGCCTTCAAATAGT